CATGATGATGATACATGATGAATATTATAAATTATGTATCACAGTGATCAGAGACCATGATTGTAACATAACGTACCTGGATCATTCCAACATCGTTAGCACCATCACCAATAGCAAGCGTAATAGATTCCTTTACATGATTCCTGACAAGACGGACGACTTCAGACTTCTGAAGAGGTGACACCCTATTTTACAATCCAAAACTGTAACATTAGTTTGCAGTAACGATATTTTCAGCTCACATAGCATTCACTCGTTTCTATCAGAGGGGGTTGTTGAGGTATGACATTTATTACCTGCAGCAAATGACGGCCTTGCAACACATTGCTAGGTCAAGGAAACTTAACTTCATTTCATCTGTCAAAGCAGAAAGAAGAACCTGTAAAACAAGGAGACAGATGAATTTATGAAAATATTGACCGCAGATATAGGAATATGATGGTACAATTGAGAACTTTAACTTTTTTTTTTAAATTAAGGACTACAAGGTTTAACTTTGCAGAAAGCGAAAACGTTTTTTGAAAAGAAAAGAGAAGAGAAGAGAAGAGAAGAGAAGAGAAGAGAAGAGAAGAAAAGAGAAGAAAACAAAAGAAAACAAAAGAAAAGAATTTTTTTTTACCTTGCCGGTGATAATGAGAGCAATATTCTTCTGAAATTTTAAAATACAAATCAATATTAGTTCAACAATTTGAGTAAATTTAATAGTAACTGCTAAGTTCGTACTGACCGTAGCTGGTGGTGGATTAGAGATGGTTCCATATCGACCAATCATACGTAAGTGCTCATTCAGCCATTCACGAGTGCCCTAGTATCAACCAATAACAATTACTTTTTGAGTGACAAGAGAAAATCATGGGGATTGCCTTTGTTTAGTTCTGGACATTGATAAACCATAATTTTTAATACTACTTGAATAATTATCAAAAATCAGGTCTATAGTTACTTTTTATAATGCATGAAATTTGTAAAACTTTAACCCAAGAGAAAGAAGTTGTTTGACTTACATCAAGTGTTGACTCACTGCAGATTAGAAGCTTCATTTCTGCTGTCAACAATCGACAAGCGTAGCCTGAAAATGATGAACAGAAAATAGTTATAACACCACCATAAAAACATTGATAACAGCAGCAGCAACAACAACCGTAGTAGCAGCAACAACAGCAGCAGCAGCAGCAACAGCAGCACCACCAAAGCCAACAAGCAGCAGTAGCAACTGCAGCAGAAATAACAAACAGCAGCATCAACAACACAGAATCACCAATAGACAACAGCAGCAACAGCAGTAACAGCAAATAAATAAAAATTCAAGAAGTAGAAACCATTCTTACCAATGTTAATGGCAGTTTCTTGTTTGTCTCCTGTCAAGACCCAGATCTTGATATCTGCATCCGCCAGTGCTGCAATACTCTCTGGAACACCCTATGAACAAAGTATATTGATGTTCAATTATCTACCAAGAAAAATATTTATTGACCAAGTTGATTGCTGCCATGAGAATTGATCTTACCTCTTGCAGTTTGTCCTCAATAGCTGTTGCACCCAGAAGGAACAGGTTCTGGGGAAAAAGAGGAGGATTAGTGATGACTGAAGAGGCCAGTRATGATGAMACATGATTATAAACGATACAATGGTGATACGCGATAGTGATGCATGATGGTGATGGTAATGATGATGGTGATACATGATGAAATGACGGTGATACATGATGAAATGATGATGATGAACATGATGAAACTGATGGTGATACATGATGATGATGATGATGATGATGCAGTACACAATGTTGATATATGATGATGATACAATCATGATGATGATGGGTTGATTTACCTTTTCAATCAGTTCAGCAGCCATATCTACTTTCTCTGTTCTGTTTTCTAAAGCAGTACTGGCTTCATAATACAATTTGCTCCATTCACTGTATTCTTCTGGCTCAAGCTCCGTCATGGCGATACATAGTGTACGCAGACCTGAGTTACAATTACAAATCAGATATAAACTCATCAAACAAAGCTATCTACTAATGATTTCTTAACGTGTGTGAAGGTTACTTCAAATATACTAAGCTAAATTCTTGCTTAGGCAACTTTTTAGAACTTCAAAGAACACACACAGTTATCTAGTACTGGGCCCGGTTGTACAAAGGGTGGATAGTGCTATACAACGGATAAATCCTTATCCAGTGGATAAGTTGATGCTGTTATACAATAAATGTATCCACTGGATACCATTTATACCTAGGATAGTGCTATTCATTCTTCCTACGACCCTGAAGCATAACTCACCTTCTCTAGCATACTCTTCCATGTGGGCTACAGTGGATGTATGGTACAGCTGATTTTCCCTTAGTCTTTCGAATATCACTGTATCCTGAATAAATAAAAAGCAAATGGGATTCAGTCCGATGCAAATGGATGGTTCTTGAGATTTTAAGATGTATGTCTATAAAAACCAACAGCACGGCCGAGGTATGATAAATGATGACTGAACTTACAAACCTAAATAAGATGACCAGAGTAAGCTAAGGGGTCTGGAGAATGTTCCATACAATACAACGATTTAATTGGATGGAAGACTGGATACTTACTGCTCCTTTGCAATACAGCTTGATCTTGTCTTCAGGTGTTCTAACCACTACAGACATTCTTTTACGATTGCTAACAAGAACAAGAGGATTGAACGTGCAGTCAATTTTAACATAACATGCCTGAAGCCAGGGTTAACCTGAGTGCTAACCAGGAACAAGTATTTAGGTTTTTCTTCCCCTAGGTGGTACTAGATGAGTTAGCTCTAAAGATTAGACCCTGAACTTTCACGTAAATGCCTCTAAAGGAATGCAAAAAAATAGAAAAAATAAATAAAAGAATAAAGTTTTACCTGTTGAATTCCAGGACATTAAGGACCTCATACACTTCTTCCTTTCCCATCTAATGACAGAAAAATAAATAATTATATGAAAGAAAGAAATATAATAAGATTATAATGAGATAATTACAGCTATTCACAATCACATTCGCCCTCCAGCGATTGTTTCTGTTGTGACAGAGTATGTTTTGGTGGACATCAATCAAGGCATTTCCATGACATTCCATATGCATGTGCCCTTTTAGCTTTGTGTTTTACAACAATGTTATGGAAACGCCTTGTGATTGATGCCCACCAAAACCTTCTTCGCCACAGAAAAAATCTATAGAGGGCATGTGTCATTGAGAATGGCTGTAAATGGTTAAATGAATTCAAAGAAAGAGACAGAGACTGTGTGGTGGAATTGTTCTTACCGCATTTATGATGACTGAAGTAGGAGTACGGACATTAAATGAGAATCCAAGCTTCTTGGCACCTTTTACTAAAGCACCTTCATCTAAAGGAAGTGTGGAAAGGTGGTCATTTATTTTTGCAAGAAGTAGAAATAGTTATTTTTCTTTTGATACATAGAAGTTAATGAGAGGAGAAAGGATGGATGGATGGATGGATGGATGGATGGAAGGGAGGGAGGGAGGAATAAAGAAGAGAGTGAAGGAATAAAGGAAGGAATGAAGGATGGAAGGTAAGAAGGGTCTGATAATATCAGAAGGAAGGTAGGAAAGAAGAAATAAAGAACGTTATATATTGTATTAACTGTTAGTTTAATTCCATATGTTAATACAAATACTGTAAGAAAAGAAAACTAAGTTCATCTTTTTTAATTATAAAGCGTCAGGGTAATTTAAAGGCTTGTAACTGTACCTTCAGCTCATATTTTAACAACATTGTGATACAAGTTGCATAGTGAATCAGTACCCTAAATGACTTGTACACAAACCTGGAGAAGCAGCCTGATAGATAATCTTGTCTGGGTTCTGCATGTCTCTTTCAGGTACTACGGTATGGCAGACGGACAGCAAGGTCAGGAATTCACGGATCACTGATGCTGTAGGCTGAAAATACACAAAAAGTATTTGATTCTTCATTAAGATCAGATACAAGTTCAATGCCATTCATGATTTGAACTTGTGTAACATCTATCTACTAAACATTGGCCACTCCATACACATGGACACATATTTGACAACTTTCTACACCCTAGCAAAAGTAATAAAATTATATTAATAATGCAATAATATAGAGGTTAATTACATGGTGCTCTCTCAGGTTGTCCAGCAAAGCTGGGTCTTCAGCACTGAAATAAATGAGAAAGAAAACATGAGAAATGATATATTGTTAGCGCTGTTCCTTTTCATTTTCTATGATATACACCTATTTCAATGAAATGTTGAAGATGCGAAAAGCCAATGGTAAACGGTGATTAGTGATTGCACGTCTGAATGGCACAGTGGCCATCCATTTAAACACGAATAGTCAAGTTGGTTTAAATGGTTACTTCTACAGAAAACACAATTCAACAACATCTGTGTTATTGACAAGGATAATGATAAGAAAACATGGGAAGCATGGGAAAGCATGGGTGGCGTAGCGGTGAGAGTGCTCGCCTCTCACCAATGCGACCCGGGTTCGAGTCCCTACGAGCTTGGTGTTGTATGTGAGTTGAGTTTGTTTGTTGGTTCTCTCCTTTGCTTCGAGGGTTTTCCGGATTCTCCGGTTTTCCTCCCTCCGCAAAAACCAACTTCTAAATTCCAATTTGATCTTGAGCTTTCACCTAGCATGGATCTGTGGGTTCCATTTGTGATTGTCCCACTCTGTGATTACAGAGAAAACTGATAGATAGATAGATTTTAAAAGAAATACAAGTCATACCAGCTATTCTTGTATCTTGGAATGACCTATCTCCTATCTCTTACCTCTAAGTGTCTCTTATTGCTTATTACCTATCTCAGTTTGCCCCCTCAACCTTTTTTAAGTACTGTAGCTGAATGTATAATTAGTATTTAATAGTGGATGGAATACCTGTATGATATGCCACCAATAGTACTCTTCTTGAACTCCATGACATTTCTGGTTAAAGTGCCTGTCTTGTCCGAGAAAATGTACTTCACCTTGAAACACACAAATTTATTTATATTTATTCATAGTTTATATCAATAACCCTTTTTTATGCATGTTTTGGTCAACTTCCTTCAACCAACATTTAAACCTAAGAATCTGATTATAATAAAGTTGTTCACCATTTTCCATTGTTGTTCAAATTACCAACAGCTATGGGTTGTCCTTACCAACAACCTCAAGACAGACTTCTCAAGCTGTTAATATGATAATTTCCAAACAAATCCACAGACGTAAAATGTTTTACCTGGCCAAGCTCTTCATTCAAATTGGATGTTCTGGCCATTGCAGGTGTGTCTGACTGGCCATGGTACATATCCAAATCCTATCAGTAAAACAAGTACACATAATTCTTGACGGGTCCAAAACAGAAGAAACATTAAGAGACTAGATTTAAGAGCCTGGGGGGAGGGGGTCTTAGAATAAATGAGCTCTTGATGGCAGCAGTATGGGCTAAACCATTAACAGCACACACCACCCATGTGAGTTTGAATCTCTATGTTGAATACTTGAACTAAGTACTACAACAGGAACAAGCATAGCTGAGTTTGGTTTGTGTGCGGCCTTCAGAGCTAGAGGTCCATGGTTCAATCCTCAGGATCCATACATCTGTTTCAACTTCTCTCTTATCTGTGTAGCTTTAGCTTTGAATACTCTTAAAACAGAGCACTGATGGAGAGAGAGGGTAAACTGCACACCGTCAGTTTCCAATGATAGCAGTTGAATTTCAACAGAAGGAACTACCAATGTTAAATATAGGTACTTTACCTTCTTAACATTATATTTAAATGTGTGATAAACTACTATAGAAAAGGTTGTGATGTTAAAACCAATGATAAATACCGTATTAATGAAGATAGCTTGCATGAACTTCACCACCTTTGAAAGTAATAAAAACCATTAAAATCAATTAAATCATTTTTTTTTACGAGTGAGTGCTCTCTACATGGGAACTTCTATGACAACATGGAACAATGGCACATGCAGTCATTGTTGGCAAYGATGACCAACCAACCAGGCATGTTGACTTGACATGTTCATGTCTTGACATGTTCATATGTTTGCTGTATTTTATCAATTCCAACATCTTCATTGTTTTCAATTCATTCAAATTTTGGAAAGATCTATTAAAAAAAATTTTATGACCAAAGTCAACAGAGTTTCTAATTAAACTGAGATTAAAGTGAAGGAAGATATACCTCAAGTGTAACAGTAAGACTGATAGGAATAAGGTTATTGAAGAGAATGATGAACGTCAGGAATGTTAACCCATAGTTCTGTGGTGCCAGTTCTGGAAAAGAAAAAAAATGTGTTAATTAAGTAAGCTACAGATATAATCTTTGTTCCTTCATTTTGGATAATGGTGTGGTCAGCTTCAGAAAATATTCACTCCATAACATGAAAATATCATTGAAGGTATTGTATTGAATGAATGAATGGATGGATGGATGGATGGATGGATGGATGAATGGATGGATGGATGGATGCATGCATGCCATGTAAACCTTCAATGTCTACCCACTGGAAACATTAATTCCCCTCTACGGTTGGGGGTATTGATATTTTATGAAATAAAATAWAATACCCTCAGCAGTATACATATTTTAACTTAATTTACCTTTGTATCCAAGATACCAGTCTTTATCTGCATGATTACCTGTAATGATACAATAATGATGACGACAACTACTAACATGCTATATATGATACTGTAACGGTTTATTTGAAATTTTTGCTCACAGGCTGGTGCTGCTCAAGAGGACTCAGGGTCCCCTTCAAGGTACATTGCACCAATTTCCAAACCCATAAAATCCCCATACCCATCTCTCAATCAACCCATTAAGAAATCATTAGTAACAGCCATACACTGAGGGCAGGTCCTCATTTGTGTACCGAAAACCTTTTGTATTCTTTGAAAGCTTTCTTCTATCATTAATTTCTATTGAATTACATAAACTGTGTCTGGTACACGAAGGAGAAGCCCTTAGGGTGGTCACTGCCAGGGTTTCTTTACATCCTCAGTGGTTCTTTTACGTCCCTCTTTAAAGTTCCTTACCTGTCCAGACATAGAATCCAATAGTGCTGAAGAGAGCCAGAACCATTAACAAACCAAATAAGAATAAGATCTGGATATTGGTAGTATGGTCCATGTTAGAACGTTTGATGGGAGCAGCAGTAGAGTTCTGAAAAACCAAGATAAAATTCCTTGACAATGTATTCTTGTCATTATATTGTCAATAATACAGAAATAGAAAATGTGTGCAAGTGCTGTGTGTAGTAAAAATGCATTAAGCATGCAGGGGTCGGATCGTTAGGGGGAGACAGCACGGCAAGCATGTTTTTTATGTCTTTAATAAAATACAAATTACATTATGATATATACATTTCTTTTTAAAAGTTTTTATTATGAAATTTGTGGTGACCAGTTTACTCAAATTTTCTTGTAGTGGTGAACTCGTCATAAATACTTGCAATTCAATAGATCTCTTCACTCTTGAGAATGATGCCTGATGGCATTGAAACCTTGAGAAATTTGAGTCAACATGTTGCCACAAATTTTATATTAATTAAAACAAATTACAATAACTGTTACTTAAATACTTGTACACGTGGTACAACATTGGCATATGCATTGTCAATTTTAAATGCACTTGAAGTTAACATAACAGATGCTACAAAAGTCATTAAAAAAATCACAGCTGCCTTGGTCTACTGGGAAGAGTAGTATACTAACCTGCATCAGCTTAGAATCATGACCAGTGTACACAACAAGACCTGAATACAAAAAGAAAAAAGGTCAACAATCTTTGATTGAAAAAAGAGCATTCATGAAGATATATATGATAAGGAATAATATAAAGAGGGATTAAGTGGGGATGGAAAATTACAGTTCCATCTGTGAGTTACATTAGCTGTGATCAGCCCATAGGTTAAAGATGTGAATTGTGTTTCATCAAGCCAATTTTTCTCAGAAAAAAAATCAAAGCTCCAGGGAAGATTCGAACCTGTGACCTTCTGTTTGCTAGTCAGACTCTCTCAATTCATGTTGATGAAGGAGATCTAGAGGCTCCTTCAGGGTATYAACAACATTTGAAGCTTTGAAGAAGATAACATATATCTCACCAAATATCCAATGTGTATTTCTGAGTTGAGCTCCTCTTAGCAATGCTTGGTCAGGACCTAATGGGTGTGGCCTGAAGATAAAGATCAAAAAACATGACCACTGCTATTGACTGATACTGGTGATCACCACGCAGAATGAATCTTTAATCCTTAATTTTCAGCTTACTTTTTCCCTGTGAGAGCAATGTTTCCAACAAAGTCATACAAGCGATTATTTGGTCCCTCACATTCTACTCGACCCTAGCAAAAAGAGAGAAAATGAGTAAAATAGGCCCAATATGTATTACTATGAATTAAATAAATACTGAATATTACAAATTAAATGAATATGGAATGTTTACAGCACGCCAGTTGAATCTGTATTAATAATTATATTCATACCTGCATACAGCGAACATCTATCAAAGATGTCATCTTTGCAGTAAGTGACAAGGCCTACAGTAAAGAAAGACATATGAATATGAAAGAAATATATGTACAAATTACATGCAAACAAAATGTTTCTTCAAAAATGCAAAAACTTAGTTGGTTTTTATATGGCTGTAGAGACTTGGACTTTAAAAAAAAATCACAAACTTTTCACTGAAGTAAAAAAGTACATATTAGCTACAAACCATTTTTTGTTCACTAAAGATTAATTATTTTTTCATTTACTGTTTTCATTATTTCGCTTTTGCTAGTTTAATTTTCTTTCATTGTACTGTAAATATTATGGATGTGAGCCCCCTTGTTAAGCTTTACAGCTTTTGGGGCAAATGTTTAGTCAAATATGTTGAAATAAAAAAAAACACAGAAATTAAATCTTATTTAAGGTGCTTTGTAATTACTGTACTTGCATAGTTTTATGCACAAGCTTTTGTACATATTGCGATGCCATACTGTATGGTTTTACCAGATGAGGAGTGTGAAAGCTCAGTTAGCAGCAAAAAGCCTATGCATATAACTGCAAATACRAAACTGTGTTCATACTTTCACGTGTCCTGCTGTAAATAATTGGAGTTTTGATTGACATTGTCAGCATTTTATGCAAATAAGGTACAAAGTTCACTGACAGTGGTGTAATATTCCAGCGAAGATGAAGAAGAGTGATTTTTGGCTTTGAAAGTGACTTCAAAAATAGTGATTTTCGATTTTGTTTTTTTGTTAGATGTAATTGTGACATTTCTCCAGATTATTTGGTTTGAGAAGTTTTTCTGTTTGGTAGTAAAGAATCTAGAATCTGGAATTCAGGCAACCTTGCTCAAAATTGTTGAAGGTGGTTTCAGGCATAGTAGGAGTCAAAGGGTTAAAGAGATAAATTTCCTTACTTCAAAATTTATCCGAAAAATTCAGAATTGTTTATTTTTTAAGAGCCACAAGTTTGATAGCCACTGGCTATTCCCAGTAAGTGTTACCCTCATGAAAATAAGGACAGGTTTTTGTCTGTCAATAGCTGATCAGAGTCTGTCATCAACTATTTTCAGTATTGTCCAATAAGGACAAACCAGGCTATTTAGAATGCCCTACCTTCTATTCCTTTACAGTATGTTACCTGTCGTATCTTTAAATTAGTCTCGCCATCGAGGTTGCTTGTTTCTACATAGCACATACCCATTGGCTCACTGAAAAATACATCAAATTAATATTAATTATTTATTTCACCAAAAGATGATCACATTATGCAATACTGTAACCATCATTCTTAAAATAATGTCTGATCTAACTGGAAGCTGTTTCTTACGTAATGCAATTTTATTGGTTATTCAATATATACAACCTTGTTAGGTCTGATTATTATAATAAGGAGAAAAAGGATGTTTTTTTATTGGGGGGAAGGGCTGGGAGATTTGCAGAACCCTTTTTTAAATGGTTGTAGCCCTCCTCCTTTTACTCAGTAAGGAATTCATGAACCTCCTATGAGTTTTTAAGTTTTTTCATCTTTTCACGGTGTATAATTTACCTTTTTATCATTACTCCTATGAGTTAACAAGGGAACAGCTTTTATCAAATTAAAAAGGTTTCAACAAAGTTCAAATTTTTACTGATGGCCCTCCCTTCTGAAGCCCCTGCCCCCCCCCCTCCCCGTTAAAAACAAACTTTCTTAGCAATTTACCTTGATGACAAGAGGATGAGATCAGCAGGGAAAAAATGTCCATTGACAACTTTGACAATATCTCCTACTTGAACCTAAAAAAAACAATGCCGATAAATGTCCATTATTTTGGTCTGTAACCTTGATGAATAATTATTATTGATAGCTACCTGGGTGACTTAAAGTACAGTATAAATCAGCTGTTGTTTTATTGAATATCTTACCTCTACCCATTGTAAAGACTGTAAAGTACCATCCCTAACAACTGAAAGATAATAATAAAACAAATAAATAAATGATCAAGACTTATAATCCATGATACAGTAGCAACCAACAACAGCAGCAGCAGCAGCAGCAGCAACAATAACAGCTGCAATAGTAGCAATGACAACAGCAGCAGCAACAACAGCAACAGCTGCAATAGCAACAACAATAACACTTGCAATAGCAGCAGCAGCAACAACAGCAGCAACACCAACAGCAGCAACACCAACAGCAGCAACACCAACAGCAGCAACAACAATAACAGTTGCAGCAGCAGCAACAACATCTGAAATAGCAGCAGCAGCAATTAACAACAGCAGCAACGACAACAACCCAACAGCCCAATAGCAGCAACAATAACTGTAACAGCAAGAACAACAACAACAGCAATAACCATAATGACATAATGACAACAAAAATATACTTATTAATAATAAGTAATGGTTTATAAAGAACTTTAATTTTAACAATACTAAGAATAATACCTTTGACTTTTCTTTTATTAACCAAATCATCAGCTTTGTGACGTTTCTAGAAAGATTTTAAAGATTAAAGAAAATCATCACAAAAAATGTGGTGTTACAATTCCTAGACTAATGTTTTATGACAAACAGAAAAATATTCCAAGCAAACCATCCATTACATATAATATCACTTACATAATCTTCAATAATCTCTTTAATAGCAGAACAAGACAAGACAGCAAGTAGAGGAACAGCAGTAGTGTAACGTCCTGTAGGTGATACTCCATCTATTTGCTATCAAATAAAAGCAGTAAYATGATTAATTATGATGTCAAAAAATTATGGTAAATAATGTCCTTGGCTTACTTAGGGTAGCCTTTAATAGCTGGTGGCTAACAAACCTGTAGCCCTCATTCAAAGATTAAAATTAAAATTTACGAGTTGAATTTTGCAGAGGAGAACCCAAAACTTCAATGTACAGTATTTCTAGGGTGACAGCCCACTAGATAGGTTAATAATCTATCATCATGATGATAATCTTAATTTCAATCTATTGTAACTACTACATTATTACCTGAAGAAGAGCTATAAACAAGAAGAACACATTGGAATATCTGCTAAACTGTTCTAGAAGAAACTTTGGCAGAAATGTGATGAAGTTGTACTTGGCAGTGCTGTGGAAGAGAAAAAATTTACAAAGTGTTTGTCATCAACATTCTAGGATCATCTGTACATGGGCATAAGGAGGAACTTTAGATTGGAGAGAAACCTTACAGCTGTAGAACRATTCTCTAATTATCATTTTTTTTCAAATTGAATAAATCTTATTGGGAAGAAATATATGAAAATACAGTGAAGTCTCACCATCTCAAACCACCTGGGACCAGATCAGGGATAAGGTTTATAAATAAATAGCAAATTGATACATTGATGGTAAAATATGTAAGTAGTATCTTGCAGCCTCAGGTTTGAGATAAAAGAAAGTTTGAGATATATGAGGTTTGAGATAAAGTCTTCAGATGACTGATGTTTTGATCAGGATCAAAAAATATGACAACATGGAACAATTAGCTAATGCCCATTCAAAGGAATTTTATCATAGATAGAAACAGATAAATATTTTGTGAAAAACTAAACGAAAAAATACAACTGAACTGATGTGTTATTTTATTATCCTTTTACCTGATTTTGTTATCACAATATGGTCTAACTTGTGGTTTATTGATAATAATAATTCTCTCGGCATCACTCCCATCAGCACTATCATCCTGCAAAGCCCCATAGTTATCTGAACCAATAAAATATGAATAATGAATCAAATAAAATGACAATTTTACCATATATAATCACAACGGCACTGCTAGACTACTATACAGAACAATATTTGTCCTAAACAAATTGCTGATTTTTGCAAATGTGTGGTTCCAGAAAATATCCATACCCACACACGGAGCAGGAAGGGGAGGGTGCTCAAAGAAAGAACAAAATTACAGGGTTTGTTCCTTTTACAAATTCCCTCTTTTGTGGAGGTACAGTATGGATATTTTCTGGAACTACACAATTAGGGAAAAAGATTAACTGAAAAAAGCAAGATTTCATGCATATATTTCCAAAAATAATCCTTTTCCAGATATTTTAAAATATAATTCTATAATTTAATCATCAACTGTCATTTCATAAAGACAGGAGAAACATGATCACAGCTTTTACTTAGTGTAAACAAAGACAAATTATAAAACCTCTAAAGTTCTTCATAGATGATGATTCATATTTTCAATTTTTTTTTCTAGGCTAAATCTAATTATAAGCTATTTTAAAATTTATATTAAGCATAAATTACTGATTGTAACTGATGAAAAATAAATTATATAATTGAAAGAAGTGAGAGAAAAAAAAAAGAATAAGGTAGATTATTGAATTTTCATTCAAAATAATATATTCATGATCAGTAGTCTTGAACTTAGAGTTCCTCAGAATAAATTAACACTATACAGGGCTTGAAAAAAAGAAAAGAAAAGAAAAAGAAAAACACACAAAAATTTAAGGTAAAATTTTGCTAGCCATTTAATTTTTCATTTGGCACTTATTATTTTTTGTCTGCAATTATTAATATTTAGACAGCATTTTGGCCATTGGCAGGCCACTATTTTGAGTCCTGTTTTAACTTGTTTTAATCTATATGCAGCTTCTCTCTCGAATTGAATAACATTATATTGGAAAAATAAACCTTGACTTCCTATTTTTTCTGGTTTTGGAATTTACATCTATTAGTAAGACTAACATTTTCTTTAGCTCAATTGAAGATAAAAAGAACACCTCAGTAAAATTGAAGACAAAAATACAAGGGAAAAAAGAAGTTCTGTAGATCAGATTGGGAATCTTATTTTTTTCTTTTTTTCTTTCTTTTTTTTTTTTTTTTTTTTTTTGCATGAGGTACAGTATTTTGATCTTGGAAAACTAACATATATGTATATACCATAAATGATGCTCACAAAAGCACATCTGACAATGTCTAGTATGTATTATTCAAAGACAGCCAAAAAACAACACCTTGAATTGCATGAACAATAAATATTGCATTTTATATTCTATACATTATCCTATAACCATGATGTATATCTGTCAGCTATTTTCTACTGTATATACTAATCCATTTTTAGGGTTTTACTTAGATTTTCCGAATGTTTTGAAGTATTAGTTTAAGCGAGGACTGCAACGGATCTTTAGCCAAAAATATATATGTATACTAACCCGTAAACCGAAGAACTCCAAGCATAACTTGAATCTTGAAGCAACACTTTGAAATTCTAATCCCACCTATTTGCTTAACTCTGTTGGTCAAATATGTTTATCATTTTTCTTACATACAAATACCAGTCTTCCTTAGATACAAACTACCTTGACATTTGTCTCATTAGCTAGCAGTTTTATGAATTCAATGTGTTTCTGTGCTTAACCAAATTTGAATAAAATAATATGCTTTATTGTCTAGGTAACAGATAGACATGAATAAATTAGGGCCCAAATGGAAATCCAATTTAGATCTAAATTCTGGGATACGGCAGGTGGGTTTAGATACACTAACCCTCAGCTCTCGTACATTGAGATTTTATTCCTGGTTCGATATTTACATAGCTTTAGGATATCTAGCATTTAGTGCAGTGCTTCTTTCTTTTCAAAGTAAAACCAAAACTCAAACGCTTTGAGGATTTCTGGATGATATTGGACTTGTCAAACTGATAGCCTTCAAGCAGAAGATATGTACCATATATTGCCTTTAGTTGGAAAACAGGTAGGCTGGAACAGATAAAACCCTTAGGATTTTGTGAGTATACTAAACAAATTTGACAACAAATCATTCAAACTGATGAATTATCAATGTTTTTCAGTTAAAAAAATAGGTTCAAATGAATTAAATATTATATTTTTGAAGGTTATGTCAGGCAGATAAGAACATACAGTTTCTAACTTAAAAAGCTGAAGTCAAATTTAAATTCAGGTGTGACATTTTAGATATATTTTCTAAAATAATACTAATATTTACTGACTCATGGTACAGGGCTGTCAACTCTCCCGGATAAACYGGGAGTCTCCAGATTTTGGACCGTATCTCCCAGTCTCCAGATTAGAGTCTCAAATCTCCCGGATAATCGCTGAAGCTGACCATTTCTTGTGAGACAACCATAAATCTCCAGTAATTTTATGTTGTTTGTGTTATTTTACATCGACAACAAAATCAAAACGTTCCTCATAAACTGTTCTTGCAAACAGACCATTGTAATACAAGCGATAATCTGATTGGTCAGAAATAGACAAATCACATCAAAATTAATGTTACAAAGCGAAAGACATCTTTTCGTGTGCTTTTTGATGCACTGTGACGTCATGTCCCTTCCCTATCAATTCTCCAGATTTGAATATCTCGGGAGTTGACAGCCCTGTGGTACCAAGCATTAACAAATAGTCACTCAAAATCAAAAACATTTGTCTTTAATACTAATATTTACTGACTTGCTGTACCAGGCAAATTGTTTAAGAAATATTAACATATATTTACTCAAAATCGAAAACACTTGTCTTCTAGAAATGAAAAAGTAAATCACCAGATATACAGTGTATTAAGCAAATATTGTATTTTATGTGCAGACATTATGTCGTCTCAAAAGAGCAATAACCTACAAATTAAATTTTATCACTTAAGCTGCTTCTTGTGGTAAAAAAAGACCTCAAACTGCAGATTGAAGTTAGAAGTTTCTATACTTTAACCTTAAAATTTATCAATACCAAGCTGAAACAACCTCTGGTCTAATAAAAGTTTGTCATTCAATTTAAGCATGGCTACAAGCTCACTATATTGATCTTTTGCTTTGTACTTTTGCTCGGCCAACACACGGCCGATAGTCGGGCAACTGTCAACCAACAGTCAGGCGATAGTCGACCGACATGTGTCGGCTGGTCATGAAGTACACGATTACTGATTACATCAGAACCTATAAAACTATCTGTAACAAGTTGTGAATGTTAATTTGCTACTATAACCCCTGTAAAAAACACTCAGCATCAATCGAATGTTCTACAGGGGGATCTTACAGCAACACTTCATCATAATTATGATGCCCTGCTAAATGTCTAGAGTTTGAAGGAAAATGCCTGATGTCGTCAAACTGTAATTCGAGGTTTGCTATACCTACAGTAGCAAGAACATCATGCTAAAGGTCTCTTAGAAACACTTTTTCCTCCCATATTTTAATCCTATTGAGGCACTAAATATAGAACATATATAAATGGTAGGCAGCCATTTTTGAATGGATCTAGAAATTTGGTTAAAATTGACCGTAAAAAGTATGAGAAATTTGAGCTCAACTATATCAGTATAACTGTACATATTATATTCAGATGGCAGAAATTATTGCACTATTGTCTCTAGAAGCTTCAAAGGTACATCTCTTACTACTGCCAAGGTGCCAACTATACTGACAACTTAAATCCTTAATCCTCCCCCCACACCACCCCTAACAGAATGTTTTACCCCTTCCAGTGGGAGGTATTTTTACATTCTTAATTACACAATACGATAAAAACCAAATAACATATTTTAGAAGGAATGGAAAGGATATTTTAGACTTTTCTCACTCCCATGATCAATATAAAATTTTTAATGAGAATATTTTTAATCATAGAAATTAAAACGTACAACTCTTTCAAGAAACAATTTTGATAAAATAGCACAAGTTTAATCCAAACATGTTTCGGCATACATACTGCCATCATCAGTGGATGTTAATGATGCAATAAATGTATAACCTAGATTATATTTAGTTAATAAGAATTTCGTGAGAATTTGGTGCCTAACATAGAAAAGAAAACTAATATGTATAGCAAAGATTATACAATAAGGACGAGTTTAGTGTGTGTTAACTGTTGATTCAAAAGGGGTTGTTCCCAYTTGATATGCATAGCCTCTTTGATTTTTAACTGCTAATCAGTTTGCACAGAGTCAATAATTGCAAGGCTATGTTCTGAATTTGGATTAAAGAAACTTGTCCAGTTTCTCAGAATTGTTTTTAACAGTCCATTTGGAATTTTTATACAAGATCTTTCTAACTTCTAGAAACTCTTGCATGGCTCAATATCAGAAAATACAGAATTAATATTTGTACTGCAGATGCTTGAATAATTTATGTTCACCAACAAAATCCATGTAGCAGTTTCTTTTAAATATGGTTTATACTATAATCTTTCTAGCTAACAACCACAATAAAATTTCACAATCTTTTGAGGAGTTTACAGCTGGTGTTGTTCCAAAKGATGGTTTCTAAACTTGTCTGATATTATTTATTCAACAAAAACATATTCTTATCACTACTGTTCAAATAGATCACTTCCAACCGGAGCTTACCCATGAAAGTGTTGTCAGGTGCAATGAAATATGTTATCTTATTGGGTTACCTGTGGTACAGGCATGGATCTCATGTTATGGGCTTTACTCATATAAAGAGAGATTCCTTCACATGTAGCCTTGCATTGAGAATGAATTGAAGTGGGTAAAACCAAGGTTTTTATTATCATGAGAATAAACATGGCTTTCACTTGAGTAAGGCCCATAGGGTTCTTCTTAAAAACAAGAGGCTTTGCATCATAGGCAGGAACAATAGAATTTGGTTTAATCTGATTTACATGAGAAAAAATTCAGTTTCCAAGGGGAAAATGATTCTATTGTTGTGCTTTTTGTCATGGTTGCCATCATGTGATGGTGCAAAGCTTCTATAGCTAGATATTACATTCTTTGGACCAGTTAAGTAAATAATCTACTTAGAAAAAATAATAACCTGATTTTTTTTCATTTTGGATCTGGAAATAGATTTTTTTATATAAAAGACAACGCCATATGTCTAAATGTAGATATTTCTCAAGCTTCATAACGATGGTAGTAATCATTACATTGGACAGAACAGGTCTTTTGTCTTCATATACAGTTATAAGAGAGACTTTACCTCTRAGCAATAATTATTATATTACCTGTTATATCAAGTGTATAAATGTTCATAAAAGGGTTTATCTTTGAGATCATAAAATTGCTATCTGGAGGTGAATATAATCACTAAAATTATGTATGTGCTCTGATAAGAAACCTCTGATACCAACACTATGGTTACTCCTGTGCAAAAAAAATTGATTATTTACTAGCTTTTACACAATGGTTATATTCATCATTGATCCAACCTACTGGAGTATGAACCATACAGTATATAACCATGTTCTTTATTCATGTGCAAAACATTTACTAGTAAGAAATGATTCACCATCATACGGTATATATATTGAATTTGACAACAGTGAAGCACAATAATCAGTAATGGTCTTGAAGCCAGAAATCATTTGTCCCCCCCTTCAAGTGCTTAATTTGTGTCAGCATTCACTATACAATAACTTATAATATACTGCCTCTTGGCCCTTAGCAATGGTACAGGAATTAAGTCAGTTTATCAATAAAAAAGCTAATAGTTATATCAAATATTGAGAACCTTTCTTGTCTCAAATACTTTTAAATCTCGTGACCCTTAAAGTGTGATATTAATTAGGAATATAAAATGACATGCACGTCTACATGTGTATACTATGATATAAACATGTTGAGAATCTGTAGAGTAAAAGAGAAGTCATAGCTGAGGCATAGATGGCTTTTGTGAAATAAACAAAATGTTTGAACTGTCATTCCAGAGCATTGTTTTCTGTCTTCTGATAGAAACAAAGGTTTATGTCAAAGAATGCGCCCAGTGTCTCAAATATTTTATAAATATAGTTATATTCCAGTAAGACTAACTAAAATTGAGAGAAAAGGTGAATGTAGATCTTTGTGAGATTGCATTTGGTTTGCCTCCCCCTACAGAACTCATGTGTTTCCAATATTATGATCTCTGAGTTAGCAATGCCTAGCCCAGATCATGATCTGCCCACTAAGGCCCCGTCCACATATATCCGGAAATTTTTTTTTCGGATACCAAAATGTTCGCATCCACACGCAGCATATTCGAATCGTTTTCACTGTCCACACGTATCCAGAAATTTCATGATCCGCCCTGATGCACGCTAGTGCCTAGTCCCTTTGACAGATAGTTTTTCTTATTGAGCATGCGCAAAATCGTATTTACGTCATCGCATTCAATAATTTGCTGATATGACCGTCCACACGTATCCGTATTCGGAGCGTATTTGAAAATTTCCACTCTGGAGACCGTTTTCAAAAATTTCTGGATACAGATACAAAAATTTCCGGACACGTGTGGATGCAACCTGTATCTGCAAAAAAAAATTTGCGGATACAAAAATTTCCAGATATGTGTGGACAGGGCCTAAGAGGTCATTTTGGTGTGATTCTACTGTATTTCAATGTTACAGCAAGCTATACAATAAACTTCCCTTTACTAAATTTACTATACATCTTACAGTCTTTTTAATGGATGGATGAGTATTTTTTAAAGCAAAGTCATAAATAACTTTACAGCAACACTTTAATGTTTTAATGTGATACCAATAAACTTCCAAATAAAAATAAATTAAGGTAATTGTCATTGAGGTCAATGAATAAATAAAACAGATTAAACATTTAACAAAAAATAAAATGAGATGATAAACGATTTGCTTTAAAATAGTGAATATAAGGAAGGAAAGTTGATTTAGATCGAAAAATTATTACTTTGATGTCAGCTTGTTGTATATCGTTTAAATTTAAAACCTCAGTAAGGAATCAGGTGCGAAGCTCAACCAAAACAAATACAGTAATTAAGAAAAAATCAAAACAAAAATATTAATTCGATATTAATTTGCAAGTTTAGACGAGTATTATTAGAAACAACCACTTTCAAGGAAACGAATTATACTACAGTATTTGAAAATATTAACAAAATAAGGGATGATTTATGATTAAACTTGACATTTTAAAATGTTGTGTGGCAGGAAAAAAGCCTTGTCAGCGAGCAATTATTAAATAAAAACACACCCGTTACGATTCTCAAACCATTAAGCCCTCGAAAAACAAGTCATTACAGATTTTTTTCCATTTTTTTGGTACTGTTAACTCCGATTCCTTTTGTGTATCGACTGACTCGTATCAGTAGGATCTCTCAAAGACTTCACCTTCAAGGCTAAAAAACTTGCACCCACCATTTAACCGACCTTTTAAAACTAAACCCAGTAAATACGACTAAATACTCATGCAGTACACTTTTTTTTCAGCGATATAAAATCAAGGAAAAGAAAAGGCTCGCCCATTTGTTGGAAGTTGACTTCCGGAAGCAGGGCGAATTTGAAAATAAAGAAAACAGCGTTTGGTAGAATTACTCGAGAAAAACACCAAAAATATAGAAAGTTAGAGTTCAAAGAGGGCTTAAATTCATGCAACGACCGAAAATAATTCATATAAGGTCACATAAATRCAGCATTCCATTAAAATCCAGCCGAGAAATATGATAATTCTCATATTATTCACTAGGTACACCTGACAGTGACATACGAGATCAAATCAGGATTTTTTCGAGGGCAAGTCTTTGCTTACCGGGACTGTCTTCAGACTTTGAAGCCTTTGGTGCAAGCTTAAACCCTTCCGCCATGTTACTTTTGCCCTCACAAACACATTCTTGCTGTATTTCAAAAGTTTTAGGTTGGTTTTCTTGAAATACTCCGACAGAAGCTTCACAAATCTTCCATTTTGTTTCGACGAGCAGCTGGAAGCTATCGACACTTACTACGCATGCGCACTTTTGAGAAAAGGAAAACAACGCTACCCTCCCCTCCCTTTGCTTAGATTTTAACTTATCTTTAAAAAACCTCTGATACTTTCAAGATCTTAAATTTATTTTTAGAAAATTATACTCAGTAACTTGGGAATTCTCGAGGTTTCTATTCCAGTATTTCATTTTCTAAAACGAATTGTCTTGCGTGAGACTGATGCGTCAAATCGAGGCTAAGAGGAAATTTGTCGTAATACACAAATATCGATATAAATACTTGAAAAGTCATGTTAACTCTATTCTTTTCTTTATCAATAAATAATAGAAACTCAATATGGACTCGCTTTAGGCTAATACTGAAAAAGATGCTTTATAAAACAAAAAATATATAAGTTAATGCAAGCCGTGACACCCTTTAGTATCTTTTYGTTTTTGATTCCATTCCTTTTTCTATCGGACTATTATTCTGTAAATCCTTTCAGACTATTGTTAAATTGCTGCCATACTCGTATGAATTGCCAGACGTGGCCGTATCTTACCCGCTTGGTCAGGATCGATAACAGGGTTTGTCTCCAAATTTTCAACATTCATCAATAACGTCGCACTTTCCTCATGCCATTTGTTTGTCCCCGCAAGCTCTTTGGCCGCCATTCCTCAGTTCATGTATTCCTCAGTTCGACCACAGCAAGCATTCCTTGTTTATGTTAAAAGTATTAAAAGCAGAATTCCATGAACATCTTAAAACTGAGCTGTGTCTACAATGGCATTACGAGATTTTTCTTGTTAAAGGTGAGTCGGGGTAACGTCATCCTAAAACCGCAACTGATGCGTGTCCACGTGACTGAAACTAAAACCTTCTGCGTTTTTTGGGGTTTTCATAATAACGATTACACAAACGACGATAAATATCTTGACTTCTTTAATTAAAAGGGAAAATCTGCTACTTTTTTAGCCGGGGGAGGGGGGGGGGGGCACTCCACTATATTCGCTATACGGGTATGTGCCGCCAAACAGGGTATGGTTTTCAGCAATTCTACTCTGGAACTGGGTTCATAAAATCGCGCTCGCTCTGGGACAGGGTATATGAAATCACGCTCTCTCCTCTCTGGAACAGAGTATCTATTTTYGCCAATACCGGAACAGGGTATGGTTTTCAGCGATCTTGCTCTGGAACAGGGTATGAATTTCAGCGATTTTACTCTGGAACAGGGTCAGGGTTCAGAGGGCTCAGCGGCACATCCTTACCCTAAACGGGCAAGAGTGCAACCTCCCCCCGCGTTTTTAGACCTTTATTTTATTTTTTTTTCGAAAATAATTCATTACGCAAAAAGTTGGTAATTGGTGATTTAATTTTCCCGCTTTAAATATGTCATCATATAACCTGTCTTTACTGGTCTTCGTTTTATGCTATTCAAAAATTATAAAATCTCTCTGTATTGTTTTTCTTTTATCTTCCTTAACATTGCAAAGGCAAAAGATGGAGTGAATATTTCAGTCACCCCCACGGTAACATGCTTTCAATTTTTTTATCACACACGTTGCAACATTGTGCACAATGAGATGCAATGCGCTACATCGATTGCCTGCAGCAATTATTTATTACTTTTGCGATTACTTCCATCTTCTTTTTAGGCTTTTTTGAGGAGGGAAAAAGAGGAAAGGAGATGGTAAGGAGCTTAAACAATCTTAATTACTGTTTCTTTCTCAGTTGTTCTATTTGATAAAAGGTATCATTGCCAAGTCTCCCCTGGCTAGACAGCTAGGTTTTTTTGGGACTTATTTTCATTTTCTTTTCGATTTTAATTACTTAACTAGAAAATTAATTAAATGCACCATACCAAATATTCAACTTGTCACATGATTTATTCCACACACAGTTATTCTGTTTGTACATAGAAACCTCCATTAACATTTAGATAACGAACAAATCAAAAGAATACCAAAAAGCTACTAAGGTACTACTCATTCTTAGGGATCAGAGCACTAGAGATTTTTCTGGGCAGTCATTCTGTAAGTTCTCAGTAAAAAAATTGATTGGGTGAAGATTTGATTCCAAAGGTTAAAAAATATTTCCCCCTACAAGATGGACTCTTGGAAAATTTATCTGATCTACCATTGCAATATATTCTAATTTTGTACAAAATAGAGTACAAATACTAAAACCATGCAAAATTTTGCACTAATTAGTACTAAATAGCACTAATTAGACAATGAAAAACAATAGTGATAACACTATTTAGCATTATTAAGTGCTAATTATGTTGCATGGTTATAGCATTCGTATTCTTAGATTTTACTGTCATGAATACTGCAACACAAACTAAATCAGCTTGGATTTTGGTATTTTTTCCAGTGACCTAAAATCTCTATATTTAACTGATTCTATAAACAAGAACCAGACAACAGTATCAATTATATTGAAATCCATCTCAGCTATATGTGCATAATTATGTCTACATAAATCTAAAGATCTATTTACATGGTAAAAGATTTAAGAGATTGTATGGCATAGTGTTTTAAACTTTGCTTGTTTACTTGTATTTATGATTTCAACTGTCTGGCTTCTGGTCCAGCTTACTTTTGTTTGTTTTTACCATGTAAATAAAGTATGTGATGGTTTCTTTCTCTTGACAGGGTATTTGTTTGAAGTGTTTCTGGATGGTCTGTTGAATACAAGCATATAAAAACTGTTAGATAGGCAAAGGTGACGTGTATTTTAGTTAAAATTCTGTACCTCAAGGGATTTATTTCTTGTAATAATTTATATTGATGTGTAAAGAATGGTACTATAAAATAAAGATATTGTCATTTCTTCTCTCGTTGCGTCTTCCTGCTTGAAGTGACCCCTTGGATGGTATCGTAACCCTTTCACCTATATACCCTACCTTTTTTGTCAGGACAAATATATCTAAATTATGTTTTTTACAATATTGGCAAAATTGCAAAATTTCACAATAGATTTTCAGTTTCACAAAAAAAAAACGATTGAAAAAAATTCTAAAATTACACCAGAATATACTTACTTATAAGTAAAAAACATTATCTGAATTAAGACAAGTAAGCCCATAGCACCATCTGTAACCACTATTTGTAATTATTCGTATTATTCGTTATGTGTACTCTTGATTTATATTTGTTAATAAATAAAATAATATTAAAAAAAAAGAAAAAAAAAAAAAAAAAAGGAAAAAAATTACATTTTTGGCCTTAATATTAAAAATATATTACATGTTAAAATTTCCGCAGCCTTTGTGAATATCCTCACCCCTCCCCTCTGGTAACTCAATCTGCACAAAACAATGTTTGGGATTCCTGTGGTAGCGCAAAGACGTAAATTTGTGTAAATAAGAAATATAAATGGCTTTTATATCCACGGAAAGAAATCACCTTTCTTTATTTGGCAGTCAAAATCAAAAAAATTTCTTTTTTTTGGGGGGGGGACAGAAATCCATTGAAAATATTCAGTCACACGAGATCGGTGGTGTAAGAAGTAAAAAGTGATAAAGTAAAAAAAGGACACTTAGAACTAGACAACTAGTTGTAAACCTCTTTATCGTTTTAGACAGCAAGGAACGAGCATTATGAGCAAATAGGAAGATAGATCTCACTTCAAAATTTCCTTTTTCGGCATCGAAAACGTTGCAGAGCGTAAACGAAACCGTGTAAACAAAGCAACGACTTTCAATGCAACGATTTCTGATTAATTTATCGTAGAAACAACTGTACATATGACAATTTACAGCCAAATAAGTAGAAATTTAAGAGTAGACTATCTAGTTCTTACAGAAAAGTGTATAAGAACGAAGTTAAGACAAAATCAATTCTTAGTTCAGTGTTGATCATTAACGTAACTGCCAACCGGCGGAGCTTATAAATATTCAAATCATCTAGTTTTTTCCGTAACACTAAAATTGTTATTGACTTACCTCAACAAGCTGTGCTTTGTTCAATCCTGGTCTGGTTTGAAGCTTATAATGGCGTTTATACCTACGAAGAGTGTTAACTTGGAGAGAGCAGAAGTCGACCTGAAAGAAATCAATATATAAAGCTTGAGTTATCGTATTTTAACATGTGACGTACGTACGTATACAAGACGAGGCAAAGAAGGCAGTAGTGCACGATCATCGAAAAAATGTACTGTACATCAAGAAAACGTAAATATTTATTCATGGTAGAGCAAAATTGAGTTATCCTCAGTCTGTTCTGAAGATGCACGATAGATAAATGAAAAAAACATTAAGAATATTGACTGGTTTTGTGTGCACTTATTCAACTGAATGAACACTCACGTCGGTTGAATCGTGTTCGTCATCAGATTCCTTTCGCTTTCTTTTGCTTCGTACGCTCTGGATCATGTTCTTGTGGTAATCACAGATGTATATATGTCTTGCCTAAATCACATGCAAAAAACATTAGAATATGATCCACAAAGAACAGTAGTTTCGTGTATGATGTAAAAGAAATGTTCAAATGCCAAACTTACACTTGTATCGAGCGAAAGCTTCAGTTTTCTCTGTCCTACAGTCTTCTGGATTCTCTTTGAATAACTTGCATTCCCTGCCAGTCTCTTGCACCTCTCGTTATCCTCAACCAGACAGCAAATCTGTGAACTTGTAGCGCTGTGTTCTTCTTGTTCACTGCGATATCCGTTCATGTTGTGGCAAAAATCTTCAGATCTTGAAAATCGCTCCCTCTCTTGTTTGTTATCCACATGTCAGTGACGTCATGGGACCTTCTATAACGGCACTTTTGATTGGACGAAACTTTCTAAAGACCAAGGTAGCCCAAAGACCAAGAAAGATCAAGCTATAATTTTTTTACCGGTTTACAAAGGAAAAAAATGAGAAAAAAGGTTTAATTTGGTCGTAATCTTGAGTAGGCCGTATGGACTGCACAAAATAGATATTTCAGCCCCAAAGTCTACCGACCAATACTACACCTGCTAACTTTTGCATTTTATCCTATCCAAGTGTTTTGTTGTTGTTTTTTCCTTATTTTCTTTGATTGCATGGGGCTCAGTGGTCGCTGATTTGGTATTCCATTTTTTGCCCTTCCATTTTATTGACAATCATTTGCTATTCCATTGTTTTTTCACCACCTCTTAGCATCACCGGGTCCTCTTCGTAAGAGATTTATGGTTTTCGAATTTTTTCGGGAAGATTTCGTCTCATTCGGAATATCTTCGCTTATTCACGAAGGCGCGCTTGCCTGGCGCGCCTCTGCGCACTTTCGATTCGAGCGGGAAAATTAACCAATCAGAAGACGAGTTTTGGAGCCAAGTTCAAACCCTACTAAAGTCGATGTTGGAGCAGCTTTGCACAAAAACTTAGCTTTCTTCTAGCTTGCTGCTAAATATTTGATATTCAATTTTATTTACCAAGCAAACGGCTCTAAAAATGCCTAAAGTAAGCAAGAAAGACCCAAACAAGCCAAAAGGTGCCAAAAGTGCCTATAACTTCTTTTTACAAGATCAAAAAGAGCATATGAAAGGAGAAAATGGCGAATCACTGCCTTTGCAGGAATTTTCTCGAAGCTGTGCTGATAAATGGAAGAACATGAGTGGGGAAGAGAAGAAGCCTTATACTGATAAGGCCGAGAAGGACAAGACTAGATATTTGAAGGAGATGTCTTCGTATTCTCCACCGCCTGCAGAAGAGCAGAATTCAGGAAAAAAGATGAAGAAGAAAAAGATAAAAGATCCAAACAAGCCAAAAAAGAATTTGTGAGTCAAAAAGAAATTAGCTTGTCTTCTGTGCTTCATAGCCTATAGACCCTTGCACTGAGTCCCGAGGGGAATTGTTCTGGAGGACAAAACAATTGATTTTTTGCGTGAGAAAAGAACGCCTATTGTTTTGTCCCCCAGAACGAAAAGTTCTCTAGGAAATCATTGCAAGGGGTCTATAAAACATGCATCACTCTTTATGCCTTTCATGGCTTAGTAAAATTTTAGCTATGTAGACTAAACTTTTTGTTGTACGCCGGACACGAGACCCATGCGAGGTGACCACCTCATGAAATGTTGAAATAATTAAACGTAAAAATATATGCAAAAATCATAACATTGTACGTAAAAATAAGAATGGAAAAAGGAGAGTGGGAGAAATTAAAAAGGTCGCCCATAATGGTTGGTCATTAAGATCTGTCATTGTAAATCCTAACCTTTACTTTTATTTAGATCTGCCTACATGTTTTTTCTTGCTGACAAGCGACCTTCCGTGAAGGAATCACTTGGGGATGTCAGTACCACAGCTGTTCTCAAGGCGCTAGGAGAGATGTGGTCTAAGACACCAGAAAGCGACAAAGGAGAGTATCAAGAACTGGCCAAGAAAGACAGGCAGAGGTATGATGAAGAAATGAAAGAGTACAACAACAAAACCCAAGGTCTTTCAGATGGTAAGAAGTCTGTAGCTGTAGAAAATGGCACCGCAACTGATGACTAGAACACAAGCTTACACTCAATAACATTGGTCATGCCCTAAAAACACTGCACACTCTTATAGTCTTTTACATTCCTTTTTTTCCATTTCCTCGATCTTACCATTTAATCACTTTTCCACTCTTCCACTTTCCATTCTTTTGATTTTCAATTTCATTCTTATTCTTAATTGTTATTGCTTCAGTTTACACACCTATGCCAATCGCCTTGACTCACAGTTCTCAGGGACTTGCGTTTCCAAGAACTGTCAATGATCAAGTGTCCGCGGTATATGACAGATATAATAATCCGGCATGATCTGTTGGTGAATTTATCTAATTTAAGACGTCGTTCATTATTCATGGTCATTAAGTGGCACTGAATGACAAGATATGGGCTTGGAATCATCCCAGAAATATACTTGTCTTGATTTTCTTATCTCTCAAGTTTAGACAGTTTGCAGCTTAATTTGCTAGTTTTGGCTTAAACCGTTATGTATCTCTGTGTGCGCATAACATAATCTTATTGATATTATCATCTTTTTATCATTGATCAGCAACGAACAGCTAAGTTAACACATTTCGTCGTTCTATAGCTTTTTAATAAACGGTCAATATCAAAAAGACTTACATTTACTCAGTATAGAATAGAAAAAGAAAAAAACAGGCGGAAATAGAGCCTCATAGTTTTGTATCCCTCTAATAGTCCCATACAGGAGTGGGCGCAAGTATTCGTCTGTAAAGGTGCTGATGGAGGGATGGGGTGTGGTCCCGGGAATTAGCACCTATCTCTACTTATTATTATAGCTCAATACTTCTTTTAGAATGAGAAGGAAATTTTCTTCTTTCTTCCCTCCCATCCCTTTGTTATTTTTCTTTATTTCTTTCTCAGTTTGCAGCCGTTTGGAGAATTTGAATCTCCCACTTAAACGGATGGGTACAGTGAGTATCTAGAAGTAGCATACGCATTGGGTAAATGCGCGCAAAATTGAGCACGTTTAGAAATCATAACAAAAAGCTCAACAGTCATTGTTTTTTATTGGGTACGTAAAGCGTTATGAAGACTGCTTTACACAAGGATACTGCCTAAATAAGTACTATTTTCACGACTGGATGGAGACTACAGCTTGTCCTCACTGAAATAGAAGAGAAAAACACATAAGAAATTATCCAACATTTTATCTTGGGAAGAGATATAAAAGGATTGAGTGACAATGGTCTTACCTTTAAAATTATGATTCTATCATTTAACATTGCACATTCCTGCCGTAACGTCCATAGGCATTACCGGGCGGCATATACCTGGCAACCAACCAATTGCCGGAAATTCCAACACCGAGTTTTCTTGTGCTCTTCCAAACAAGCTGTGTGAAGTGCATCACGTAACTCACCGGCTGGCGAGGGGCACGGGTACAATAACCCCAATCTTTATAGTCATAAGACTCGTCATTCCTGGAGGCATAAGATACATTTTATAAAGTAAAACTGACTAAACCGAGCCGGCAATAATGTTCTCGTCAGCCGATTCGATCTAAATATGTCTAGCTACCCAAATCTGTCTATTTGTTTTAATGCAAGCAATAATAACTCTATTAGCCATTCTGAGGTTGCAGAAAAACTGGGTCGAATTGTCATTGCATTAAATCATGGGACAAATTTTCAAGATGGCGTCTATTTCGGTACCTAAAACCGTCCTACAGTACATTACAATGACAACTCGATCCAGTTTTAAGTTTTTCCGCAATCTCAGAATGGCTAATTCCGCCGCAACTCCCAATAACGCCATGTTTAGAATTCATAAGCCCGAAAATTTCCTTTGTAATTAGAACAAAACGTTTCTTTTGATGTACTGACACACCGGACATTAATTTACAGTGATATATCGGGTATTTTTCAGCGCCCTTTAATCCTTTGAACAAAAAATGAAAAATGGCAGGATACGACAAAATTATACAGTAACTGTATATGTTTGACTGCATCTGTTCAACCAATTATAGCCGCAAGGTGGCCGCGCGTCCAACCAGAATGCTGATTGTATAGGTCACGGAACATCCTTTACTCAAACAGTGTTTGCATGAGCATGTGTCATGGTAGACTATGGATGTCACGCAAAAAAATCTCTATATAAAATAGAATCTCACCATAGTTCAACTGCGTCCTTGCAGTTTGGATTAGACAACATGGCGATATTTTCTCCCTCGTTAGATGAAGGGTCATGGACGTTGTTTAGCGTGCTACCTCTCAGCTTTAGGTTATTGGCCCACTGTTGAGCATGCGCGGCGAGTGTAGCATCCCATATCAACGCTGGTGYGCCATGCTTTGCTCGTATCTGATTATGTTCCCTTAGACATTCTGCTACAGAAGTCGCTATGACAGTAATAATAGAATCAGTGTCGTTATTGATTTACCACAGCGATCCCGTTATTGATTTTACATGCAATACTGTTTCTTCCAAAAGGGCAATTGGAAAGATATTTTTAGAATACGTGGGTTATTCAAGGACTTATTCCCTGTGGTCCCCATCAAGATTATATATGCAGAGAGCATCTTATATTGCAGGTACTATCCTCGCCTGTGCTTCAACTGAGATTTTTTCTGCAGGTTTTCCAGGTTCTCCAATTTTCCTCGACCTCCCTCCACGAAAATCAGCTTCTAGATTACAATTTAATAATGAAGTGAGGGCCATAGGTTTGTTAGCCACTGTCTTGATAAGCGCTACTCTTGTAAAACGAGGACAATTTCGTTACTTTTTTTTTTAACTACTTACGTATTGCGGCTATTTCATGAAGGCAAAAACCAAACAACACCACCATCAGAAAAGCTGCTTCTTTGGCCATAATATGCTGAACTCGGTACGTGCTGATCGCTAGCTTTAAGGTGTTCCCTGATGAAGAAAGAAATCGTAGTCAGAATATATAACAAAAACATCTAATGAAAATGGGCATTTCAGCGAAAAAAATTGAAATGAGTCGGAAAAGTTTTTTCAATTTATCCGGCGGAAACGTCGTACGTCTTCGAATTTTCTTTCCAGCGCCAAATTTTAGTCATGATCCTTCTCTCACATCCCTATAGAACCGAGAAAGTCGCATTAGAGATTAGTCTTCGCGTCTTTAAGCCATGAAATTTGCCTGTATTCACATACTACCTCGCTTGTTCTGACCAGTACTTGGAGCTCACTGTACACCAGTTCAACGGATTTCTTTCGGCAACCGACCCGAGGTCACGCCGGAAGTCTTCGTATCGTAAATGCGGATTCGATTTGGATATCGTATTTCTTCGAAATTATGGTGAGTGTATTTTTTAACGGCCTAAGATATAAAAGTATTTAACTTATGATTTCGAAAATTATGGTGAGTGTATTTTTTAACGGCCTAAGATACGAAAGTATTTAACTTATAATTTCGAAAATTATGGTGAGTGTATTTTTTAACAGCCTAAGATACAAAAGTATTTAACTTATAATTTAGCGAAAGAAGTGCTATTTCTCAATGATAGGGTAAAATTTCGAGGCTTTATTTCACGTTTTGATGATTTTATTGAAATTTTTGATGATTCCCCATACATTTCCTTATAACAGGACACCACAGAAACCAAGCTTGGGCTACCTGTGGGCGCACTAGTAGCTGGTCATCAGGTACTGGGATTATCGACCGGAAGTCCGGTCCGCCGCGAAACTAGCATGTCACTTCCGGTAATAGACAAGGAAATGTAAGCGTATCCAGTAACGGATAACAGGGTGTACGAAAACAGTATCAAGTATCTAGTGCACTCTCTCTCCTTTCTCTCTTCCCCATCTCACTTACAAGAGAAATGATCCGGATATGTTCTGGCGTTAACTAGTCTCGCACGCAAATTAAAAACTGCTTTTTCTTTAACAAATGCAAACAACAAATGCTTTTGATGGAAGCAAAGTTGGATTTGGCAAACAGGAGGGTTGGTGTTGTTCGAGGTACAGACACGGTACCGACGTCAACTGATGGACGGGAGGGGGGGTGGGGGGGGGGGGTGCTACCACCCCAACTTGGGTAGGGGTGTGCCGCCAGGACCTCAAAACCTTATAGTTTTGTATTCGGCATATTATGAGGCTAGTTTAATCTTAGAAGAGACAGTTGTGGGTACGGGCGCGCGTGACTCCCAGCATGAAATGCTAAAAACATTATGTAACACTTATACAATACTCGTATAGTACTAAGTGTTTTCTAAGCTCTTTAAAAACTTTATCCAAATTAAAGTTCATTAAGATGTTCCTGAATTACTTTAACGGAGAAATCTTATTAAAGACGTTTATTTCGTGTACTGGATGATTGATTTCGTGTTGTATGCCGGCTGCTTGGAAAATACCTGGCAAAAATGGTACATTTTCGTGATATAGTTACGTAAGCAAAATACTGAAGTGTGTGCTGAGAGATTAATAACAACTGATAGCCTTCAAGCAGCTGCCTGAAAAATGTCTGGCAAAAAAGTGGCAATCTTTTTACTTCAGATATGGCTACACAGTTAAAATACCGGGAAAATACCTGACAATAAAGATATTTCCCCCCAGATATGGTCAGTACTGTGCCTTCAAGAGGCTGCCTGGAAAATACCTGGCAATAAAGACATCCCMCCCACCCACCCAGATATGGTATTGAAGTGTGCTAGGTGGTACTGAAGTGTACCAGGTGTTGAGAGACGATTCAAAACTGATAGCCTTCAAGCAAGTACATCAAACGATCAGAGTAGCTTGTGAGAGTGGTTGAAGAGAGACACATAACAGTGTTACTACAAGAAAGAAGAGTCCCAATAAAAATGGAGAGCTTCAAGATTGTAACTGTTGTCCTCTCATCAACGTTTCTACTGGCCTCGCTTACGAATGGTAAGACTTTAAAAAATAGATTACAGATATGAGACAGTGACGACTTCCATTAGGAAACGAGTAATTACGTAGTAACAACTTATGACACCATTTCGTGATTGCTTACGATAGGTCTAAATGAAATCTTAACTTTAGTCAAACTAGTCAAAAGGACTATGGGAAATAAGTCTGGAGAATTTTTTGAACTAACTTGAAGAATAAAAGTGAGAACTAAAGTGGCAAACATTGTCGATACCCCCTGAAACAGCTTCTGGGCTGATCCAATTTAGGGCATGACTGACTCACAGATCGAGTTTTGAGAATTGAAATTAGCATAGCAATGAGGTTAGTACGGAGCGTGGAAAACTGGAGAAAAACCCTCGCCGCGAATCACGGAAAGAACGAACAAACTAGGTTCACATGTGACGTTGAAAATGATAGAAAATTTGAAATCCAGGAATTAGAAAAACATCTCCCAAACTGAAAAATGTTTAACTGGCTAACCAGTTTGTCATAAATACTCATGAAGCTATTATAAATCGTTATTATTTAACTATCTTATAGCCTTGAGCGTTGATGCGTGCCTAGAGCGGCACAACAAGTATCGTAAYCGTCATGGCGCCCCGCCCTTGAAATGGGACAGCTACCTGGCGAAACATGCACTAGAATGGGCCAACGAGCTTAGCAGACTGGGTAAACTCAAGAGAGACACGCAGAAAAAGTACGGAGAGAGAGAGAGGGAGAGAACCTGTACATTGTTTCCAATCGATCAGACGCTTGTCAGGAAGCAGTCGACGCTTGATAAGAATATATATACAAACTAAGGTTTCTAGGAAAATTGAAAGACATTTAATTTGGGCACGCGATATCTAAAACTGAAAATTTCATATTATAATTGACTTAAAACGTTCCCGACTGATGACAGCTTTGAGAAGCCAATTGAATGTCATGCTACACTTCAATGGCTTTTTCTGAAAACCAATGCCAAACCACGACATCGATAAAAAAATCTCTTAAGGGGCAATTTAAGACAATGGTTCAAAATAGGGAACCTCAGTTATTGCTTTAGGTCACAATGGTGGGTACCGTTATTGTTAGATCTGAAAAGCCTTTAATGAGTTTTTAGTGTAGTTCTCTYGTTCTCTTTGTCTTAGGTTTGTTTATAAGTGTTCTATAGCTTTTGTTTCACTCGTTTCAGTCTAAGTATTTTCGTCATTGTTTCGTCATTTAGTCTTGTCCCTTAGGAGTTTTTGTACGCCATATAT